TGGGAAGTGGTAAGGGGAGCCAATGGGGCACAGAGTGTCTGCAGAGCCTCTGCAGGGGCTTTGCCTCATCTCTGAAGTGATGGGGTGTGTCATGGGGTGGGTGGGGGTTATGTGTGCAGTGGTGGGGCAGCATTCAGGACAGCCACGTGCACCAGTCGAGGTGTCCCAGCCTGTACTGCTGACTTCTGCTCTTACCAAAATTAATTCAACATCTGGACTTGAAAATCAGCTGGCTCCCTCCCCAGCCCCGAACAGAGAAAGTAGCTTCAGTTATTCTTGGTGGAAATGAAACAACTTCAAGAAAGGATGGCCTGGGGCAGTGCTTGAAGCCTGGAGAAAGGGCTGTTCCACACCTGGCTGAGAAATACTTCTGGCTTTTGTGAGCAGGTCTCCTCAGAGGGACCACCAAGCCTTTGGGCTAAGGCAAGACCAGAGGCCCGAAGGACCCTCCTAGTTCACTGTTTTCCCTCTGGGTTTTGCATGTACCTCAGCAAACACTTCTCTCTAATGCAATCACTGATCATATTTCGTTTTGAAAAAGTTTGGATCCCTCACTGATTTCCTCCAGTTGTCTTTCAAAGCACGTACATGGTTGTACTTGTACCACATGCACAACACCCGCTGTGAGACCTGCAGCTGCTGACAGGGGAGGACAGATGGTCTCACCATGTTCCAGTGACAACAGCCTCTGCCTGGGTCCCTGGCAGAAGGACCCAGTGCCCTACTGGGTGTCTCTGTGCAGACAGACATGGGGTGCATGGGACCTACACTGAGTTGGGGGTCCTTGAGCCAAAAACAGCTGGAGGCTGGGATAGTGTTGGGGGGAGTATCAGGCACACTTTGCTGCTTCTTTCCTTGCCCCAACACCCTTGTAGTCACTCCTGAAGAACAGCCCCTGAGGTGAGACAGTACAGATGCTTGTTTAAGGTGGTTTACATGTAGCTGTCAGCAGATGGGCAGGGACAAGAACTGGTTTGCATCACTTTGTGAGTTGGTTTTGGCTCACAGGGGAGGACCTTTCAGGATGTAGATGACAAATGAGTGTAGAAGACAGTTTGTTTCCCTGGCCAGCATCTTCCCCAGGGGCTACATCCATGGGAGACGCTGGCAGCAATGACAGGATTTTGCTGTATTTTCTCTTATGAACACTCCAGCTGCTGCCCTGGCATCTGATTCTTAGCAGGACAGAAGTATTTACTTTATATATTATTTTTTATTAACATTAAACCTCTTCTGAGAGCAAATGAAGATGTGACATAATACAGCTATATGCAAATTGTTCCCAAACTTAAAAGCAAACGTGGAATTTTACCGCTATTTCATAGGAACAACCCCACAGTGGCAGAGAAATCAGCTGCTGTGCATGGTTTGGAAACGTGCTGAGCTGGAGATGCTCTGGGTACTGCCTGGTCCTTGGCACGTCTGATGCGCGCACAGAGCAGGGAACAGGTCTGGCCCCAAGGGGGGTGGAAGGAGCTGTGGCTCTGAGCTGCAGGCAACGTTTCCCGTGCCCATGTTTCATTGTTCCAACAGTTTCCCCTTGGCCTCCTGGCAGTGCAGAGGGCTCAAGGCCTGGCAGGGGTAAGCCTGGCATGCAGGAGGCCAAGCAGAGCCTTGCCTGAGGTAGCTCTGAGAGGGAGCAACACCAGGAAGCAGCTGATGGTGTGGAAAAAAGATTCAGTGCATGTTCCCCAGTTGTTCATCTCCAAGTAAAGATGCTCACTAGCCCTTAGGGCCTATCACCTCCCTGCAACATCCAGAGCAGATCACCAGCCTAGAGGACCCTCCACGTCCAGCTGAGCAGTGAGCAAGCACTTTAAAAGCTAGTCCAGACATGGTGGTGGAGACCAGTGCAGCAGCAGAAGGCACGGCACAGCCTGGGAGCAGATCCTGCTGGAGCAGAAAGGAAGTGGCAGTTTTGAAATCCCAGCTCCGAAACGAAGCTGGAAGCATTCTGTGTGCTCAGCTGGTTTTGGGGCTTGGTGTCCAAGACTCCTGACAGAAAGGCCGAGTTAGCATCAAGAGCTGAGACAGTTGGTAACTGGTACAGGTGCCCACGGGTGAGACCTGTTCTGCAGTCCCACCCACAGCAAAGCTGTGTCTGTTCCCTTCTCCCAGCTCCTACTAATCCAACCATGGAGTGCTCTCCAGGAGACAGGCATGGTGCAGACCCTCAGCCGGTACCTGACGTGCTGGTGGCCTCCTGGAAGAAGGGAACAAACCAGCAGGATAAAGAAGAGGAGGTGGGAACCTTAGATTGAGATTTCCTTAGCTTGGCATTTCCTTATTTAAGGGTGGGTCCTGGCGCTGCTGAGCGTCGCTCCGCGTCATTGCTCGCTGAACCTGGGGTTCACAACTGTGGTGGTGGCACTCCTGAAGAGGGGGTTATCAGCCTGGAGGGAGAGAGGTGAAAGGCCCACGCTGTTGTGCTGTTACCAGGTTTTCAGTGGAGCATTACCCACCCCACCCCTCCCAACGTGAACGCTGCAGTGTTGGCAGAAGAACCTGCAGCTCCGGCCAAGTCCAGCCGGGCAGCTCAGTGGGCTCAGGTCAGCCCTGGCTCCCTCTGCAGAGCACGTCCCCACCAGGTGTACATGAACCTCCCAGCACACCCCAGTGCTGTGGACGGGCTCCCTTACGTCGTTCCACTTGGCCTTGGACTTCTCCTTCTCGAAGCGGCGGTATTCCCGGCGGTCAAACAGCTCCGTCAAGAGCCGCCAGATCAGCAGGAGCACCAGGCCGATGAGGGCCACGGCAGCCACGGTGCCACCCACGATCAGGGCGATGTTGGGAGGCTCCGGGCACTCTGTGGGGCAGACAAGACACACATCAGCTGCAGCCCCCTTCGAGGCGGCGGGGCGGGAGGAGCAGGGGCTGGGGGTACCTCTGTTAGGATCGTAGGTGACGTTAAACATCTTGCCATCTCCCTGGACCATGCGGAAGGAGATCCAGCAGTTGTTGGAGTCCTTCTCCCTGCAGGGCTTGCCCTCCTCTGTCAACCCCTCGGTCACCCAGATGTCAGGGCAGGCCTCGGAGCAGTTCTTCTCAAAGGGGCCGCTCTGGAAGGCCTTGCACTCCACGCAGGAGCTGAAAAACGTGTGGGCACAGCTCACCTCTGCGGGAGCAGAGCCCCTCTGACCCGGCATGGGCTGGGGCCGCGCTCAGCCCCAGGACGGGCAGGGGAACCCAGGCCACCCCCTGTCCCTTCCCCAGAGGTGTCACTCACAGGTGTGTGCCGCAAGGCGAGGGGCAGGTGGGGCACTCCTGGCAGAACGGGGGCTGGTACCCGTCGCGGCACTGGCAGCGGTTGCAGTGGCAGGTCCCGCGCAGGCTGCACACC